ACTACAGTAAAAATAAGCACGGTAAATATTTTGACAGGGAAGGCATGATAGGATGATATAGAAAATGTGAATAGCCTAGAGCAGAAGGGAAGATACCAAATCTGTTTAGCACACGTTTGGTTAAAGGATAGGCTTCACTTGTCTCTTTGACGAGTTGTAATATGGCGCTACGAATGGCTATACTCACTGTTGATGTCGACTACGATGCCGGCGAAACGTCTGGGAATGTACCACGTCCATGGTCCTACTATGGAAATGATGATGCATACAATGGACTTAGGACTAGGTGCGTTCCTCTAAGTCTTCCTACCAATACCGCATAACTATTAATCGCTAATAATTTAGTGGACAATTTGCGTATATAGAAGGAAAGCTTATTTAGGCGACGTGATAAGAAGCCAATTAAAACGATCATAGGATGAAAATCCTCTTAAGTAAACAGTTGAATTTACGATCTTATGATATATTTAGACCTTAGCATACCTGTCAATCCCAAGAGGCGCCAATGTGCTGTTGGGCTGACGAGTAGAGTGCTTGTTAGGACTTGCTCCTGCAAGATGAGTAGATGAGTCTTTGTTTGAAGCAGGTGAAACATGTGTGGGTGAAGAGATAGATGCAGCTGAGGAAGTGGTCAGAAAAGCTGAGGTAATGGTACCAGAAGAAGTGTTGCTGGCAGATGCGGAGATGCAGGAAACTGGATTAGAAAAAGCAACACCAGATGGTGCGGTAGTGCTACCAGTTGATGAAGATACAGATGATGTCATAGTAGTTGGCACAGGCGGGTGAAGGCTCGTAGGTGCAGGAGTGTCTGCTTCTTCGTCGTCAAAAGCGTATGGGTCTTTAGGAGCTGTAGCCGATAGTAGATTGAGAATTGAGAAAGACAAAAGTAGTTGCAATAACACCACTATAGTTATGAACAACAAAGGAATTTGCGTAATGAAGAAGGGCTTCGGAATTATAGGATATGTAAATATCAATATTATGTCCAAGTCTAACAGGTAAATATATCATTTATAAGTTAACTAGTCCCTCGTTAAGTTTCAATTTTTTACGCAAGAATCTAGCAAAAAAATATAATTTGGTAAAAAAAAGCAATGGAAGAGAAAAAGACAACAAAACTCTGCCATTATAATTGAAAGTATGATGACGTAAATAAGAAAAGAAATTAGGATAAAAGCATTTTATTAGTCGTAGCGGATAAATATATCCAAAGTGAGACTCAAATAAATAGGCATAACCATTCAAAAAAATGTTCAAATATTTCGACTATAATTAGCATTCACCAAAACACCAAGGCAAAAAAGGCGACCGGCTCCAAATCGACCTACTTCTTATAGCCCAATTTGATTCAATTAATTAGATATATCATGACTTGGTTTGATATCCTATGCTCTGCCTAAGTGTTTGCTCAAAAGTTACGTTAAGTGGCTGCGGACGACATGTGAAAAGGATGCAAAGTGTGAAACTGATGATATTGTGACTACACACGTGATGTGTGAATGCATTAATGTTGAAATGAATGTGATGTGAGAGTCAAAACCATATTTGAGTCTAATCAAGCCTCCTCTTGATCGATGGCAATTCTCGATCCCCCTTCTCCTTCTAATCCTATCCAACAGCCCCAATTAGTTTCCACTTAAGTTCCTACATGCATTCCTATTCAGGATGTTGGCCGTTTTGTTGATTTCTATAACTTCCCTAATCTTCAGCTTGCTGGTATATTCCCCGAATCCAGATAAAAGTTTAGCATTATACCTATCTATCTGGTGTCCTCTGCGAGCAAGGTGTTCAGTCAATTCCGATTTCTGGACACACAGACCCTTGCAGGCCGTTTTGTGTTGACATAACCTCTAATGTTTGGGCCTACAGCTCTCTGCCACATAGGCGCTAACGCATGAACACAAAATCTTCTAAAAGCAAAATCACAAGAAAGGGTCAGAGTATGTTCGAAAAAAAGGCAATACCAAAAGAAAGTGTCATTTTATCTTTATATAAAGTGTTATCATATCTTTTTCTGTCCTGGCCCCTCTCTATTTCCTATCCTCTTGTCTCGCCCCCGTCCAATCGAAACTTTTGACTTGTTCATGTTCCACAAGAAGTGTATCCTTTTGGCGAATTTACCTTGGCATCATCATACCCGTGGTTTGCCTTGCTCCCCTATCTTTCAAATGGTTGATCCGACGGACAAAAATAGGGGCCACAACATCTTTGTTTTTATATCTAGCAATTTAGAAACTAAAAGTGTCTCCTGACTTAAGCGTTCCTCAGTGTGGATGGCAGAGCCTGTATGACATCGTTTGCGTGAATTTTAGCATACATAGACTCAACATCGAAACTTACCAGTAAACCCCCCCTTTCTATCTCCTGCTCGTCGAGAAAATTAATGAATTCATAATAATTCATAAATGAAACCTTTCATGTCTCGGATATTTGCTTTAACTGGCTACACATAAATCGTGATGTTTTATGCATCATTCTCCCTTTATTATTTACAATTATATTATAAGTGAGATTCCATCTTTATGTATTCTGGACAGACCATATGCATTCGAAGGCCTAGCCTCTCATTCAAGAAGAGTGCTCATCTTCCACTTCTCCAGTTTCCTTTTTGTTACACAATGCTGCAGGCAATCCGAGAGTCTAAATTTAAAGGTTTCTCTAAGGTCCCTACTGATTGTCTTGTAAGTGATAGTGCCATCCAAAGCCTGCATTATTTTTTCTATATAACTCACCATGCCCATAACTACAACTGCTCCTCCTTTATCTGCCCTCAGCACAAGTTGGTCCACATTATTTTGTTTTCTTATGATGTATTTCACTCTCTTATTCCTGGGTATTTTTACATGGTTATCAATTAAAGCAACGACTTGTGATTCAATATCACCCCTAGCCTCTTCTGAAAGATGGTCGGCAAAGCATATGATATCCAACCAAAAAATGAGATGTCTAAGTAAGTAAACCAAATTTGACGATAAGTAAATATGTTTGAAGCCGGCCACCTTACTTACCTTCGGGGTTTGGTAAATTATCGTTGTGCATGGTGACGTACTTTGACGATGTCTGTCACATGACGGACGAAAGCTCAGCAATAATTCATCGTGATCGCAGGACGAAGCGCCGAGGACCTATTCGCATAAATCTACAATCACAGCTCTAAGGCAATTCTCCTACAGCTTCCGATGAGACCAACTTACGAATCCCTTCCACTTCCCTCTTCAAACGAAATGAAAGGTAATCGAAGGTATGAAGACCAAGATGGTGTGGCCTTTTGTGTGGTCACAGTCTCCTTTAGTTGTATAGAGGTTGTTT